AGAATAATTAATTATTATGTAACAATGAAGTTTTTTTCCCCTGTAGYCAGTGTTGTCAAGCAACTCACTGGGATGGTAATTTACCACCCTTTTTCCAAGGAAAAACCATATACCATAATGCAGGCACTGGCCAGCTCTGAAGCCAGGGCAAACTAGCACTGCTAGATGCAAAAGGCTGTCATAATCCTGGCTGCAGAAGTGAGAGGTTTGAGATTACTGAAAACCTATTATTAAAGTTATCTTCTCACCCCAAACCTAGGGCATAAAATTAAGTATTTCTTTCTGGAGGAATAGTTTTGGTGTGGGTTTGTGTATTTRGGGTTTAATACTAGGTATGTATGATTTCGGCAGTATGGGAGTGACATCAGTTCAGAATGGAGATACGGAGTGCTGGTACCTTCATTGTGTTTTGAGTCCTTAGCATTTGTCTTTCTCTCCAGAAGGCATGAAACAGTGGGTGATTCTTTCTACAGGTGCCTGTCAACACAGAAGATAGTAATGTTGTTTCTCAAATAAGCTAATAAGGTTGTTCCTACTACTTTTGATATTATATATTTGAAGAGAGTAGAATTTTCTTTTTTTATTTTTTATGTTTGGATGAAGATTATGCTTTGAAGTCATGATAGATATGCCTCCAGTTCCTAATTCCTCTGCTGGAAGTTGACTTATGACTGATCAGATAGGTTGAAAGGGCAGCTGTTGCTCTACTGACACCAGTGTGGCATGCTTACTGACATGTGTATCTGGTTTACAAAAAAGGAGGTGGGTTTAGACCGTGCTAGCTTGAACAGAATTTTCATATTGCTTCAGAAAAGCAAGAAAAACTAATAGATTATCTCCTTCCCACCCAAATTTAATAAAGGGTTTCTTGAATTCTTGTACTAGGAATGTTAAAACTTGAATTCATGACTGTTTATTTTAGTATTATTTCCTGGATCTGTTACTCATATTTGTCTAATATATTTTTTTCTTTCTTTTTTTTGACTTGGTAATATTGTTTTTCTTCACAACCTCCTGAGGCAGTTTCTTCCCTCTCTGCTATGTGAGGTGCTTTCTTTCCTCTGCCTGAAGCAGATTTCCCTCTAGCTCTAGTATTGCAGGATTCAGTGAATAGCAGCCCTGCATTTGCCTTTCCCACTACTGTCATCATTTGACAAGACTTGCTCTTATTCCCCCTTAGTCACCCCCTCGCCCTCTAAGGGAGGCTGTATCCTCTCATCCATTTTAGCTCTTCTCTGTTAATCAAGCCCAGCTATGTCCTACTCGGGATGCAGAGATTAGTGCAATGTAAAACATACAAGGTGTGATTACTTCAAGGCTTTAAATAGGAGCTAAATGACCCTCTGTCCTTTTCACAGTATCATTCCCAATGATGCCCAACAATTTCTTGACTTTGATTTTGGCTCCTGTTGTACCCTGAGTTGATGATTTCCAAACTAAGAGAGTGATGACTTTTCCTTAATTTAAAAGATATCAAAATCCTTCTGAAATATTAGTGGGTAAACAAGAAATACATTTTAGAGAAAATAATTATTTTTTTCTATCACAGAATGAATTAGGTTGGAAAAGGCATTTGAGATCATTGAGTCTAAGCTATGACTTAACATCACCATGTGTTAAGAGATGAGGAGTATCCTCACCAGTGCTGAATACAGAGGGAGAATGACGTCTCTATTCCCACTGGACACATTGTTCTTGATAGAGTCCAATTGGTCTTCTTGGCCACCTGGGCACACTGCTGGCTCATGTTCAGCCTTTTTCTCTGCATGGCACTATAAAGCATAGAAAATATGTTCTCTTAGTTATGACATTGCATACTGATATGTAGTAGGTAGTGTTTAGTTGAGATTCATAGGCTTTGGCAGGAAACCAGTGCTCCTGCAGTGTGCTTGATGATATCTGTTGTGGAAGAGAGAATGCCAAGTTAGTATTCAGAGTAAAATGCAAGGAGAACTCAAAAATTCATCTGGGTAGAAGGGCACCTGACCCAAATATATTGTAAACACCCTCATCTGCCCTCTGCTGCTCTGCACCTGAGTATGCACAGTGTGCACCATGGAAAAGAGCTGTGGGTTAGTCAGACGCCGTGCTGAGATAACAATGTTTGAAGAATTGCTGGATCTCTGGAGGTGACCATATCTGTCAGCTAGAAAGACTGCAACAACACTGGGAGAAACATTTTCTGTGTGAATAAACTGAGTGAAGTGACTTGAACACAATAAAAAAAACACTATGAGGCCAAATCACAGAGTTTGGCTGTGGGAACGTTTTCTTGCCTCATTGAACACCTTAAAATAGATAAATTGTCTGTTAAGCAGCTAGCAATGTGGTCTTTGGGGGTCATGATGCCTGTTTAAAAGCAAAAATAGATATTGCTGACCCTTAATCTGCATGGCAGGAAAGGCTTGGCTAACCTGAAGTTGAGTCATCTGTACTGCAAGCAGATAATAGATGGAAATTAGGTTATTCCAATGAGAGACATTTGTGAGTGTAAGCACTGAAGCAGAAGTTTACTAGCTTCTTGGTAAGCTTGAATACTTTGGGCTGTAAATCAGATTATAAAGATGTGGTGGGGCTTCAAAAAAAAAAAAAAAAAAAACATCTAAGGTGGGAGGACACAAAAAGAAGAAAATCAGATATGTTCTTGCAAGTTATTTCTGTAAGTGTATACAATTTTAAGTACATATACAAATCTTAGTGAGTCTAGGAGTCAGGTATACATCCACAAATATTTGCTGGCCCTGGACATAAATTACTATATCAGGATTACAGAAAGATCTGAAGTTTAGCCAGCCTTTGGCAAAACTTGCAATAATGCCTTTCAGTCAAAAAGACATTTGTCTTACTCCTTTGAAAGAAATCTTAATATCTTAGTCCTGTTCCAGGCTGCCCTGTTTGCTTTGAAGATCTCAGCCTGTCTTTCTAGGAGAGGCACTCCAGCCTGGCTCTTCTCTGGATTTGTTCCAACAGATCTATGTCTTTCTTGTGTTGGATACCCCACAGTTGGATGCAGTGCTCTGAATGGGTCTCACCAGAGCAGAGTAGAGGGGCAGAATCCCCCTCTTGCCCTGCTGCTCACAGCTCTTCTGATGCAGCCTAACACACAGCTGGCTTTCTGGGCTGTGAGTGCCAACTGTTGGCTCATGTTGAGCTTTTCATCCACCAGCCCCTCTAAGTCCTTCTCTTCAGGCCTGCTGTCATTCAGTTCCCTATCTGCCTGTATTTGTGCTTGGAATTGCCCTGATCCACATGCAGGACTTTACACTTGAAGTGTCCACCGATCCGCCTCTCAATTCTGTTAACGTCCCTCTGGATGGGATCCCTTCCTTCCAGTGCTGGCAAATGACACTGAGGATCTTTGACTGTGGTCAGCAATGAGCTATTTGCTTAGAAATGCCACATGTTGAGCTGTTGACCTCACAGCCTGGCTAACAAGCCATGCTCTGAAATCTTGGGTGGGATTTTTTTGGCACGGCTTAAAAGCTGTGCACAGTTTGGCCTCAAGCTAATGGTCACTCTGGAGAACTGTGTCCTATTTTTTCACCCTGGAAAACCTTACCAAAAAGTTTTTGGATAGCGACTGTTCAACTGCCCAAGTTTTATATGGTATTTGCATTAATATTCTGAACATTTTCTGGTACACTGTCATTGCCAATTAAGAATTTTTACTTCATTTCACTGATGCCTTTGGTTCATTCAGCTACAGGCAGTTCCTCTGGGATCTACCTGTAGGATAGCAGTACCAACATATGGAAATGAACTAGTGAGCTGTTACTGGACATTGATTACAGGAAAAAAAAGGGATTGCAAAATAAAAAAAAGGTCATGAATTGCAAGGCTCTTGCAGAACTTGTAATGCAGTGAAGGGATGCGTTCACAATGAGAGAAAATTGCTTTTCTCAGTTATAACTATATTCCATTTATTGTATTCAGTAAAAATCCTAGGAAAGGAGGACAATTTCTCTTGCCCTTCAGATAATATTTCCAGGCTTGCTCTTGGAGGTCATGGTACAAAATAGTCATTTAGACAAAATATGTCTGACATCAGTGTTATTCATAAAACACATTTTTATTGGCTATGCTGTATGCTGCTCAAGGTTGGAGATGACTGGCTGCATCAAGGAATATCCTGAAGGTCTGCAGAAGCCACTGAGCCTTGACAGAACCCTCTAGATGGTTGATTTTGTCTAGTTAAAGCAATGTTTAAATAGTACGTTTTCCCAGAGGGCTGAAGCTGCCAAAAGGTGTGGTTGCAACCAGCCAGGTGCTGGGAAAGAAGCTGCGAGTGAGTAGCTGGGCTGTGAACTGGTCCATCTCTGGGAGGCTGCTCTGCAGGGGAGAAAGCAGAAAAGAAACTGGTGACCTTGAAGCTGTGCTGCTCTGCTTGCTATCAGAAATAAAGCTTAAGGATTCTCTGTGGTAGAAGGCAGAGGATGGATAGAAGGAACCTATTATTTTCTTCCCCCCATTTCTTTGGAGAAAGAGATGAATGGGAGAGGTGACTCCTCCCCAGGCAGGTCCCGTATACCTGAGGCTCTTTAGGTCTCAAGAAGTTATGTCTGCCTCTGAAGTTCATCTGGAATTCTTTTCAGAGCAAACAAAACCAGAAAAGGAAAAAAAATCTCCACTGTGGTCACTGTGCTATTTTGCCTACAGCAAGAGAAAGATTTCCTTGTGTGAACCTGTATATAATGAGAGCGAGGGGTGCTCAAACAAGCTTACATTACCATAATTTATTTCACATTACTAGTGAGCATTGTGATAGCTATATATGTTAAATAAAGCATTTTCTGTGGTATTTCTTAGTGGGTTTTTGTTACTTTTGCTCTTGTTATTTCACTGTTACTGAAGAAAATCTATTTATATCTATTTTTGACTTTGCCTTTTTTTCCTGCCATTTAAAATAACAATAGATAGATCCAAAGTAGTTGCACAGCTGGTTAAATCTATGTTGCAAAAAGATAGCACATTATTCCTTAATTTTTTAAATTCTATTTCAGATACCTCTTATATCTGCAAATAAAAAGGGACATTTTCCATGGCCGTTTGCTGTGTTCCTTTTCTGATGCTGCCTACCTGGGTGCCTGTATTGTCCAAGGTAAGCACAAGCAGAGGCTTCTTTGAGTTCTTCACTCATATGTTGCTCAGTAAAAGCAATACAAAACTGTTATGTGACTATAGCTAGCAGTAACTTTCTCTTGTTGTTGTTCTGTTTCCCTCTGTTGACATGCACTGTGAAGTGTTGTAAATAATTCAACTGTTTAGCCAATAAAACCAAACTGAAGCTTGATGAAAAATTAAAACCAAGAAGTTATCTTATTGTATCTAAGTGAAAAAGTATGGCATCGATGTTAGATTCCACTTAACAACAAAGCAAAACTCCACTCTGAATCCTAAGTGGAAATGTTGCCTATTCAATTTGCGTTAAGCAGGAGAAAGTGTGATTCAATGCTCTTTCTTATGTTAAAGAAGACCTGTGTGATCTGAGAAAAATAGAAAGTGTAATTCAAGGGGAAAGAAATTTTATTTTATTTTCCCTATTTTTTTTGTTTATTCTCCCTCTGTCTCTCCAACATTTGCTAAAGACCAAATTCACTTATATGTCTTGTRCGGAAAGAAATAATCATCCAAATGTAAGTAAATAATCATCCAAATGATTAAGTAAATCATATGTGTGGAAGTTCCCTTTATTGTGCCTTAATGTGAATGAAGCTCTTAATGTATTACAAGGCAGCAAATCCAAACCAAAACTGAGCCCAGGCCTCATCAAAAGAGGCTCATTTAGAAAATTAGAACACCAAATACCATGTTTGGGTACCTAARTGGCACATCTTTTAGAAGAGAAATGAAGTTCAGTGTGGTACCTTAATTAATATTATGGACTGTGTTTCTCTGCTAGAACAGAATTAGGACCAGTCCATACCAGTGAGGATAAATGGTGTGAAAAAGAGGAGARTTGAGAGCGCCTTGTTTTAGTTCTGCCTGGTACCAGAATGATACATAGTCAAAGGGGAACATTGCCTGTGCTTCTCCTTTACAGAGCAGGTTTCTGCCATAGAAAATAGTTTAGTATCGCTAATTAATGCAGTAGTTAATAAGACATTGAACTTCTCTTGAAACTTATAGATTGAAGTGGCAATTATAAGGATTTTGMTGTTTCAGCCAATTATCAATTCCTTAAAGCAGCACTTCTTGACAGATGATGGATTCTTACTGAGCATGGAAGTACCTTGAGTTACACTGCATTTACTGACTTCTTCACTGATTAACTAATGTTGCAATTGGATTTTTCTGTTTTGTTTTGTATTTTGTATCTGTTTAGCTGAGCTTGGTGATTATGATCCTGATGAACACCCAGAGAATTACATCAACGACTTTAAGATTTTTCCCAAGCAGTCGCAAAAGCTCGAGAAGAAAATAGCTGAAATGCATAAAAATGAATTCAGGTAATTTATAATGCTGTTTGCTAGAGAGACACATAAGAAATACTTATACCTGTTTCCAAGTAGTGTATGTTAACTTAGCAGAGCTTGTTCCATGAATTATAGTAGAAGCTCTACCAGTATGCTGTCTAATAGGCTGTATTTGGAAATGTGGTTTCAGCTTAGAGGGTTTTCTTTGCCTGTTAACTTCATTAATCATAGTTGATTCCTGCATGACTGCTGGTGATTTAGGCCTCATTTGCTTGAAATGTAGGTCTGGTTAGCGGGAGCAGCTCACATGATCAGGGCTGCTCTGTTTGATTAGTGGAATAAAGTCTTTCATTTAAGGATCACACGTTTTTACTTGGAAATTTATGTCTRCAGCACAACTTGAAAATTCTTGATAGATACTGACCTGATTGAAACTATAATTAGGTTATTTMATCTGTAGGTGGCTAACACAGTGGTGAATTGCACAGAAATGTATTTAAGTAACTTCCTTGGAAGCTAAGGAGGTGAGATACAGAAATCTGTCCTAAGCTTTTAATACGGTAACGAATGGGAAAGGAGAAAACAGGTTAGCCCATCTTTTGGTTTCTAAGTTAAATGAGTTACAGGAGAGAAGTAGCAGTGAGCTGTGCAACTATACCCTCTTCAGGGTTGTCAGTGAATGACATGCACAGTGTCGAGAGGGAGCTTTCATGAGGCCCTGGGCATTTCACTCAGTTGAGGATAGTTCTTGGAACACAGGGAGAGGAATACCCTGTGCAGAAAATCCAATGAAAGCAAGTCATTAATCTCATAAAGTAGAAGGACAGTTTTTATTGCAAGGCTACAAGGCTCTTAGCACTTGCTTATCCTGTGTTTTATTTTCATATTTCAATATAAGCAAAACAAAAAAGAAAAAGATAAAAATGCCTTTTCAGGAGAGTTAAAGCTTAAAACACTTTTTTTTTCTCCCCAGAAGCCTACAAAATATGTTTTTGAAACAAGGTGCAACATTTATGACAATATGCGTGTCACTATGAACGTGTCTTCTCTTTTTTCCTACCTGAAACCTATATACTTACTTTGTTTTTCTTTCAGTGAAATGATGYTTTAAATGGCATGCATCTAACATTTTTAGAGCAGTCCAGCCTGCACTGTACACAGACCCATAGCAACAGCATTTTAAAATAGGAAAAATAATTAATTTTACTGCACTATTGTTTCATGCAGTGTCTACAGATTCCCAAAGGATAAATTCAACCTTTAAAAATCAAGACCTTTCATCACTTAAGCCAAGATGCAAATAAAAAGACTGACAAATTCAGTCTTTTAAGAATAGRGTAGTGCTTTAATTAAAGTTAGGAGAAGAGAAGGAAGGGTGGTAGGTCAGTGCTGGTGGGTTTTATATTTCATAACATTGGGAGAGATGTATTTTTCTGTGGTGGTTTGCTTTTTCATTTATGTGTAATTCTGCACATCCTTTGTGAATGTAATCATATAGTTCCTCTCTTATGGATAACCAGACAATTTTTTTAGGTAATTTTTTAAATCCTGTTAAATGTTGATGTAATCTGTCTGATCCTGTGACAGTAAATGTTATAACCTTTCACACAGACCCCTCTGGGATTCTCTAGGTTCTGAATTCCTCCCATCAGTGGTTGCTCAGCATGTGAGGATATCCCTGAATTTCTTCAGTAGTCTTATTGTGTGACAGCATTTGTTATTTCTTTTTGGAAATCAGATGATATTGGGCTGACTTTTTGGGGTTGTGGATCTGCTGGTTCCTACAAAAAAAAAAAACAAAAAAACCAAAAACAGGAAGGGCTTGAGGCATAACTATAATTTATAAAGTAGAATTCTCCTCTTATATGCCAGTGATATGTTCCTTAATTCTCTTTCTATTCTATATTTTACCAATTCCTATGTTACMAATTTCAGGTTCAGTGGTTGTAGCACTTTGCAGCCCTTACAAACTGCCATCTTTCTTTTCTATTTTCTTTTCTCACATCAGCATCAGGTGGGCCTTATCCATTTGTCTATTTTCACAGAACAAAGACAGTTTCAGAGCTGTCTGGGTAGCTGCTATCTGGCAATTTCCCACTGTAGCTCTATCTTCCTACAATTGATCATCCTCCTATATTTTTTACATCAGACACTCACTAATGACGCAGAAGTTTAACCTTTTTCTGGACATTTAATTCCATGGATCTGTATTCTAGCAGTACAAATTAATAAAACATATCTGACATATAATGAATAATATGTGGAGAGTTCCAGAGGKAGATGATCAGATGTACATATCTAGCTGGGAAAAAATGACAGGAAGAGCCAGGCTTCTCTATGGTATTAATTAACACTTCTGTTCCAATGCATTCTTCAGCAAGTTGAATTTTCTGATAAAAATAATGTTGTGCTGCTCAATGAGTATATTTCAAGCTGTTGCAAGGAATTCCCCAGGCCTTTCCTTCCAAGACACTCAGGTGAGGTGTTAGGTAACAGCCAAAATGTGAGAAGAGCAGACTGAGAGCCTTTTTGAKCCAGGTGCCAATCTTCTGCCTCCAGGATACTTACCTCTAAGTTTCAGCTCTGTGAGTCAGACTGTTTTCTTCACATTTGTAAACAAACAAAGAACAKGACACCTCTCTCCTGCAATAGACTTTTATATAACCAAAGCCCTGGGGTTTAGAAGAGGCCAGTTCTTCACTGTGTCAACATTCATAAGGCCTTTTCATTGGTCCCATTTTTTCTTCTGTCCTACAGAAAGATGGAGGAATTTAGCTTTAGAAAGGAACATGAAGATCAGGGAGGGAAGTGTCTGGAAAGCAGGAACAAAATACTGTGACAGCTTCCTGTGACCTAGTGACTCATTGGGTGTTATTTAGAAGCCTTTTCTAATCGCTTAAAGCAGACGTATGATGCAGTGTCATTATTTCTTGTAAGTTTTGGTTGTGAGAACATCACTGGATTTTAGCAAAATGACTTTCTGCTGCACTTAATACAACAAAAAATATTGTGCAAAAATATAAGCGTGACAGATATTCATGACAGGTTTGTTGAGTTGTGATTGTCTTTTGAATTTTAGTAACTTCTTCACTTGTTAAGGAAGGGGGAGGTACAGAACAAGACAAAAGAGCTTTAACAGAACTTTTTACTGTGATAAGTTTCTTTGTTTTGGAAAGATACTTTTCAGCCAGAATTCACAGGGTCTAGACACCTGAAAATACAGAGATTTCTGAGGGAAAGATTGACATAAGTCCCTATCAAGGAAATTTATATTTGTAGGATTGATGTTTTGGCAGGGTTTTTTTTTCTTCTGATTTCTTTTTTTTTTCTTTTTTAAAGAACTCAGTGTTTGAAAATCAAGCACTTTATTTTTATCCCATCTGAAAACTAATAATCCATTTTTAGTTCTGATGTGAAATATTATGCCATGTATTTATGGAAGTGTTATATAAAAAGCCTTGAATTTATCTGAAAGCCTCACACAAATATTTACTTTTTTAAAAAAAAATATAGAGTTACATAACCTGTTCAAATGCCTGCTTCCCATGCTGACTTCATATMGGTAAATACAAGTTATTTATTATTCTTTTGAATGGCCAGTGTAGATATAGGCTTAAGGTACCTGAGTGCTACTGAATTGGCTGTTGTCTCTGTGTATCATATGCTTTGCAAAAGTCACGTGTGCAAGAATATCTTTTGGGAGAAGAAAAGGCTTTCTCTGAGGATGTGAAGTCACTGCCATATTCTGAAAATAACTATCTCAAAAGCCATTTAAAGTGTTGAGCCAAAGGGAGTATTTTCTTGAAAACCAGAGTTGCAAATTAATGCTCATCTTTGATCCAAGCTAAACGAGAAGTGTTGTTTAAATTTGATTTGAAAGGCATGTAACATTTTTCCTTTGCTGCATCATCCACATTGTGCACTCAGTGAGGATTTAAGCCCTTTTCAATTTCCTGTGCTGCTCYGACTCTCGCTGTATTCCCTTAGCCATTCCATGGGTTCCCACTGGCTTTGACACTGGCGCCAGCAGGAGCACAGGATATCCCGGTCCCCACTGCTGCGGCTCTCCCGCTCTCGGCAGCTGTCAGTGCAGCCACTGGCAAGCACCACTACAAATGTTACTATCTGAGTACAATCTGGGAGGCTGTGCTGCAAGGCTTGGCAACGGTTGCTAGAAAATGTTTTTCTTTGTGGGTGTTAATATCATTTCATTCAAGATTAAAGCAACTTCTTGCATGCTGAATAAATTGAAATTCAGCACACAGTGAATACATTGAAAAGCATTGCTAAATTCCAGAATAAGGCAGATTTATTTCATTTAGTTGCCTCTTATAATTAAAAGTAGATAATATATGGTTTTATGCATGATGCTGGTGGCACACTCATTCACACTTTATATTTAGCTTCCAGCACTACCCTAATCACATTGATATCTAACAACCTGGTATACACAAAGGGAATTCAATGTAACAGGCAGATAGTATGCTCCAAAACTTGCAAGTCATGTTGCACGAGAGAGAAGCCCCTTTGCAGAGGACTGAGGTTTTTGTAGAGCTGAGGGGGTGTCTGGAAAAGAGCACGGCTATTGCAGGGATAAATGTCTTCCAGGCCTCAGGGGCCAAAGTCTTTTTAGTTCCTAATTATACAAAATGTATTGTAGACTTCGGAGGGCTGAGGAAGACAATGAAACGTAGTGAGAGTTGTCAGGCAGACAGTGGTGATGTTGCTCAGGGCCACACCTCTGTTGCAGGCTGTGCTTCCCCTTCATTTCAGCCTTGGTATCCCGTGCTGCCTCACTTCGAGTTTCCCCATGGAAGCATTTAGATTTATCTATTAGGCCTTATGTTGACAACAGTCACTCTGACTTCATAACAGGTTCTATCTAAGTATTAAAACTTGTGTAATACAATAGCTGAACCATTTGTTTCCACTCTGCTATATATTCCCATTTACAGTCCAGAATTTTTAATCAGTGCAATCTGGATGAATTAGAGAGATGCTTGGAATGTAGTCACCTAGTCCTTTCTCTGAAG